GAAAATGAAGGCTAATCATGTTTTGGGTGTACTATTCCTTTAGAGCAGGGAGTGGGGCGCACCCAACAGCGATCAGCTGTGACAGCCCAGGCACAACAGAAACTGTTCTAACAAAACAATGCTCCAATGAGCAATGAAGCAGCAATTGCATACCAATCTGATACTGCTATGCTAGGAACAAACTCACCAAGAGAGCAAATCAGTAGTTTCAGAGATTTGGATTATCGCCAACAGCCAGCCACAATCACAGTGGAACAGGTGATGTAGTTTAACCTGGCTCGAGGCGGGGCTTTAAATAAGTTGAGTAGTTTGGGCAAAACAGGAAGTGGGCCCGCAAAAATAAAAGTCTTGATTGATTGACTAATTGCGGGTTACATCTGCATTAGCCAATGGCTAAATCAGTTTCTTTAATAATCTACGCATCAGCTTTATCGTCTTTCCATCAAAACCTTGTGGGTCTGTCTTCCAACTGACAGCCTTTCTCCATGGTCTCTCCCCCGCCTGCTTGGTCTCATGGCCCCAGTTCCTCATGCCAAATAGGATCAGTAGGACTCCCTCTTCAGCTTGACCACATCACCTCCTGCCAGTGTCCACCACCGCGTTCACAGGTTGCTACCAAGACATGGATCCCAGACCAGGACTGTGCATAGACTAATAAATATATATTTTTAGATTCCAGGGCAGAATATTAGCTAGAATCTCAAATAGAGTTAAGAGTTCAGTGTACTAAGGTGTATTAAAAAATAGAAGACATGGAGATAGAGAACAGAATGAAACTAGTGGAAACCTATAACCAGTGTTGGGAAAGTTCTCTTTCTACGTGAACTAGTCCAAAGTTCAGTTCACACATTTCAAAATGAACTAGTTCAGTTCATAGTTCATAATTCAAAATTTTGAACTAAGTTCACGGTTCCAAAAAATGAACTAGTTCATAGTTCTTTTTTTCATATATTGCTCAATTACACCATCCTACTGTAGAACCACAGACAGCAATTATTTTATCAGTTGTAAC